AGATAGATAGATAGATTTAATAAAAATTTATGTCTGTTTTAGATATTTTTTTAATTTTTTAAGATTTTTTTATAAAAATAATTTAACAATCTTATCACTAACCATAGTGTATAGGAGAAGTTGAAAAGGGTACTGCAGTAATTATACACGAATTGTATCTATAATTATTTGTATGAGGTGATTTTAAATGCTGATCAGGAGTTTTTGACCAAATCAATAAATGCGGGCATGTGAAAAGACTTGTGGATTGAAAAAAGTTAATAAATGCTGATCAGAGAATTTTGACCAAATTAATAAATGCTGAGTTTTTTTTTTTTAAATAAAAAATTTTAAAAATTCAGATTGGGATATTGAAACTCCTACAGGTCTTGGGATTTAAAAATCCCATTTTGCTTAATATATAGTACTAACATATCACCCGAGCTATGCACGAATTGTGTTTACAATTATCTATATATGTGAATTGTGATTTTTAAATGTCTTTTTTTTAAATGCCATCTTTTTCCTTTTTTATATTATATTAAAGTTTAATATTTTGATAATAATCATATGTGTTAGACTTTTCAAGGAATTAAATATCTTTTTTTTTATTATATTATATTAAAGTTTAATATTTTGATAATAATCATATGTGTTGGACTTTTCAAGAATTTTTTTTATGTTTGTTCTTAATTCATTAAAGTGTTATTATGAGGGATAATAGTCATATGTATTGGGACTTTTCAAGAAATTCATGCGTTGGATTTCAAAGAATTTTTTTTATGTTTGTTTTTAATACATTAAAGTATTATTATGAGGGTAGGAGTTGGGAGTTGGGAGCAGTTAATAAATGCTAAGGTTTTTTTTTATAAAAAAAATCAAAAAAATTAGATTGGGAGATTTGAGCTTCCACAAGGCTTGGGGTTAACAATCCCCTTTTGCTTAATATATAGTATAGACTAGCATATCACCCGTGCTATGCACGGATTGTGTTTACAATTATCTATATATGTGAATTGCGATTTTTAAATGTCTTTTTTTTTAAATGCCTTCTTTTTTTTCCTTTTTTATATTATATTAAAGTTTATTATTTTAATAATAATCATATGTGTTAGATTTTTCAAGGAATTAAGTGTCTTTTTTTTTATTATATTATATTAAAGTTTAATATTTTGATAATAATCATATATGTTGGACTTTTTAAGAAATTTTTTTTTTATGTTTGTTCTTAATGCATTAAAGTGTTATTATGAGGGATAATAATCATATGTGTTAGGACTTTTCAAGGAATTCATATGTGTTGGATTTCAAAGAATTTTTTTTATGATTGTTCTTAATGTATTAAAGTGTTATTATGATGGTAAGACTTTGGGGGTTGGAAGAAGTTAATAAATGTTAAGGGTTTTTTTTAAAAAAAAATAAAAAAATCAGGAAATTTAGATTGGGAGATTGGAGCTCTCACAAGGCTTGGGGTTAAAAACCCCCTTTTGCTTAATATATAGTATAGAAATCCATCTTCAAGTGTTTGTATCCCAATTAGTCCATAAGATATTCTTCTATTCTAATATGTCATATTATTTGAATATTTGATCTACTAAATCTTAATTCTCATATTTAAAGTATTTTATGGATATTTCTACCTTTACAAATAATTTTTGAATGATTAGCAATTTGGTGATGTGAATATTCATATTTTATAACGTGAATATTCACATTGATGGTGTGATCATTGAACATTCACATCACAGAATATTCACACTGTAAATGTGAATATTATTAGAGATATTTTGGTAATTATGTTACTCATAAGACTTATTGGAATATAAGAAAATAATGTGGACTAAATGAAATATAAGTAGGTGAAAATAGATTTATGAAAAAATACCCCTTAATTTTTTTTTGTATAAATTATTTAATCAACAAATCTTACAACATGAATAGTTCAAATTATAAAAAAGGACTCGAAAAAAATCTCCATGGGAGCACCACAAGATGCTACTATGAGTTGCTTACAGCAACCTCTCCAATTCCAAGAGGAATGTAGATAGCGTTTGGTTTAATTTTAAATAAAGATTTAGGTAAAAAAAAAGTAAGGAAAACTACAAGGAGATAAGAAAAAAAAAAAAAAATCCATCACAAAGGAGTGCAAGTGACACTTACATCCCACACAACTTTACACACCACCTTACACCTTTCTCTTTACTACAAATACATTTATACTCTCATATAAATATATCCCTTGTGCTCCTACAACCTTTTATTTATATTTTATTATATTATAGACATATTTACACAGTAATTTTTTCTTCTTCTTAAATAATATTAAAAATTTTATTAAAAATCCTATCAAATATCACATGAGTATGAGTAGTATGGACCACGCAAATTTTAAAATTGGTTTCAAAAACTCATAATTAGGAGCCATGTCCCAGTATCTCTCTCATAGTATCAGAGATTGCTCTCACTGTCACACCCTCTCTGTCAGACGTCTCTCACGCTCTCAATCTCGATTTCGCCTCTCTCCATCTTCGGTCTCACCTTTCTTCATCTTCGACGACGACAATGATCGCACCGAGATCTGTTCATCTCATCCAAGGTAATTTCCAAACTTTTTTATTTATTTTTTATTTTTTAAAGTTTGTTGAAAATCCTGATCTCAAACCCCAATTCAAAGTCCTAGTTTGAGTATTCTAATTTGAAAAATAAAACCCTAATTTGTTGTTAATCAATTCTTTAATTCTGTTTTATTTGTTGTTAGATCTGATTGTTTTGTTTGTTACTACTCTAAAGGGGGAACACATGTTTGGGATCTCGCACTTTTGAAGTTGTGTGGACTTTTCCACTATACCAAAATTGCCAAAAGGCATCTGTTATTTACAATTCAATTGACTTATATGTTGTGTTTGGTTCAGCGATTTGGAAAGGTTGGTGAAATGTGAATAACATACTTATATTTCACCTACGCACCTTTTTCTTTTTATTTTTCCAAATTCTTCCCCAAATCCCTCAACCAAATAGAGCATTATCATTAGTATAGATACTTAGTATAGATATGGAAACAAATGGTTAAGAAACTTTCTTTGCCGAAAAAGTAACTGATTCAGTTTCTTCTTACTTTTGTTTGTTGTACTATATTATATAATATAATATATAATAACTGTAAACAAAGAGTACATTTTAGGTTGGCTTTTCCTGTCCTTAACCCATTCCATTGCCAGCCATGGTGAATCAATACTCTCTCAAGTTCTCCCTTATGTTCTTCACTTTCTCACCAAAACAACACAATTCTCCAATATGTCGAGAAAAGGGAAGTTAAGGATTTGCATCGAAACACGACTCGAGAAGCTTTTAAGAGGAAGAGTTGCATTTCATATGCTCATGGAAGATTTATACTTTTGTTAATAAGGGGGGAAAAAATAGAAATTTCTTTCCATCCGTGATGAATTAAAGGTGGGTTTTGGAGCAGTGGTTTGGTTGGGGGCAGCGGGTACTATCAATGTACTTATGTGTTTTCCCTGAGTTAATGCTTACATTTATCATTATCTAACTCAATTATTTATGCTATTAATGTTTTATTTGCTTATTCTTCCAAGTTCCAATACACACACATCACCTTCTAGTTTTGACTAATGCTATATGTACTAATTAGTGTACTAACTAGTGTATCAATTGATGATGTGACATAATTTAAGATGTTTTTGGTATTTGTAATTTGTATAATGAGCGGGGTCAATAATGATGTCATAACTAGTGTTGGTACGCTAGTTAGTATACTAATTGATGTATGTTGCACCACTCTCTAGTTTTTTCATTGCCCAAATAGAATCCTTTGAACTGAACCAAACTGCCTGAATTGACACCAATTTGGTTCGGGGGGTGCCCCACAAGAAAGCTGAACTGATTGGTTCAGTTCTAATACCAGGTTCTACCCTGACACTATCGAACCGATTTCACCCCTAGCTTTCATCAACCTGCATCTTCTTTTTGTTTTTGTGCTCTCAAACTTGCCATTGGTATTAGCAGAGAATGTGAGTTTTGATTTCCCATCTTTCACTCTTCTAAACCTCATTCTTCTCCATGATTCCTACTTCTGGAATAGTGTCTTCGAGATCCAACATAGTAATTTACAACTTTTGAATTGCTATACATATTCTATCCATGAGTGTAATAACAAATTTGTCTCTATCCAATTCGATACTACAATCGATTGACTCTTTGTCTAAATTATTGGTATTGAAATTTGTGTAGGTGTCTTTCTCTCAATTTCTCGATTTCGTTAATTATATGACATATGAAAAGTAACGAATTATGGTTTTATTATTTGGTTACTTGGTAATCATTTTTATAACGTTTTCTTTTCATAGTTCTTATTCTTATCTTAAAGTTCTTCGCTTAATAAATATACATTTTTATCTTTGATAAATTTTCTTTGACTATTAGGTTTTCTCTCTAATAAATATATTACTCATGGATTTTTTTTTTACTTTGTGTATTGATTTGTTTGCCAAGAAATCTTAGGAACAAAATTCATAACTTTTGGATCTCAATGCTAGATGCTAAAAAAATGGACACCTTTCTCGCAGTCTTCATCGAGACTAATTTCTTTTTCAGATTTCTTTGCATCAAAATTATATATATTTTTTTCTATTTACATTTGTAATATTTTGTTTCTTTTTTGCAATTTTTCCCCTAGATTTTTTAATTTAAATTACTAGCATTGAATTTGTGTAGCTTCGTTTCTCTCAATTTATCAATTTCCTTAATTATATGACTTGCAAACAATAACATATTTATCAGTTATGATTTTATAATTTGGTTACTTCTTAATTATTTTTGTAATGTTTGGTTTTCGTCGTTCCTATTTTTGTCATACAATTTTTTGTTTAATATTTTATTTGTTTTCAATAAATTGTCTATAATTATTTGGTTTTCGTTTTGATAAATATATTATTTATTGCTTGATTTGCTTTTCATCTTTTGGAGTGGTGGTTTTCCAAGAAAGCTTGAGAATATAATTCCTAGCACTATTGGATCCTAATGCTTGAGGTTAAAAAAAACAGACGTCTCTTTCTTGTAGTCTCCATCGAGACCAAAGTTTTAAAAGGCTTTATTGAGGCTCGCTTCGAGACGAGGCTAAGGAAAAAAGCCTCAAGGCGTTGATTATTAGGCTTTACTCCCCAAAGGCTTGTACACACAGTCTGAGATATGCGCATTAGGTGCGTCTTGTATGCCTTTTATGCATAAGCATGTGAGGAGTACGCATATGAAGTGTTTGTATTAGGATCTTGTTAAATTTAATCTAGTAGATGGTTTATGTTGGAATGTGTCCCACATCGTTTGGAGTTGCTCCATCTGTGCTAGTTATAAGGCTCTAGTTTCCCTCTCTTTAATACCTGGGTTTTAAGGAGAAGTATGGACTGGGCTTTTCAATTTGGTGTCAGAGCTTGGTTGGGCCTGTAACTGGTGGGTTATTTGTCCAGCTTGTGTGTGTTGTGGTCCAGGAGGGTGTGTTGGAATGTGTCCCACATCGCTTGGAGTTGCCTCATCTGTGCTAGTTATAAAGTTTTAGTTCCCCTCTCTTTAATACTTGGATTTTAAGGAGAAGTGTGGGGTGGGTTTTTCAACTATTTAAACATAAAAAATAAAAAATAAAAAATAAAAAAGAACCACTTTTACAACTATATTCTATAACAAAAATTAAGTAAATGACCAACCAAGAAAAAACAAAAAGTTATTGACTAGTATTGAAATTTGTGTAGTTTCCTTGCTCTCGTTTTCTCAATTTCATTAATTATATGAGTTATGGTTTTGCAATTTGGTTATTTGGTAATTATTTTTAAAATGTTGGGTTTTCGAATTTCCTATTCTTGTTTTATAATTCTTTGTTTAATATTTTCTTTATTTTTGACAAATTTTCTCTAATTATTAGGTTTTTTTTTCTTCTAATAAATATATTATTTATTTAATTTGTCTATTGGTTTGTTTGCCAAAAAATCCTGAGAATATAATTCTTAGCTTTTGGATCTCAATGTTTGATGCTAAAAAAACGGACATCTTTCTCGCAATCTTCATTGAGACTAAGGTTCTCTCCTGGATTTTTTTGCAATCAAAATTATAATTATAATTTCTTGTTAAATTTGTAATATTTTGTGTCTTTTTTACAAATTTTTTTCCATTTAAATTACTAGTATTGAAATTTGTGTTGTTTCGTTTCTCTTAATTTATTGATTTTCTTAATTATACGACATATGAACAGTGACGAATTTATCTCTTATGGTTTTATAATTTGGTTACTCGATAATTATTTTTATAATGTTTGGTTTTTGTAGTTCATATTCTTGCCTTGCTATTCTTTGTTTAATATTTTATTTTTTTGATAAATTTTCTTTAATTTTTTGGTTTTTTTATTATATAAATATATTTTTTATTGCTCGATGCTTGATTTCACTTTGTCTATCGCTTTGTTTGCCAAAGAAAACTAATTCATAAACTTTTGGATCTCAATGCTTAATGTTAAAAAATGATCTTTTTCTTGCAATCTCAATTGAGACTAGTAAATTTCTATAATATTTTGTTTCTTTTTTGCAATTTTTTTCCCCCAAATTTTTTCATTTAAATTACTAGTGTACAAATTTGTGTTGTTTCGTTTCTCTCATTTTCACGATTTTCCTAATTATTTGATATATAAATTGAAACAAATTTATTTGTTATGGTTTTCTTAATTTATCGATTTCCTTAATTATTTGATATATAAAACTATAACAAATTTATCTATTATAGTTTTCTCAATTTCTCAATTTCCTTAATTTTTTGATATATAAACTATAAAAAATTTATCTGTTATGGTTTTGTAATTTGGTTACTTGCGAATTAATTTTATAATGTTTGGTTTCATAGTTCTTACTATTGTTGTGCAATTGTTTGTTCAATGTTTTCTTTAATTTTGTTATTTTTTTATAATTATTTGTTTTCTATTTTTTTGATAAATATATTATTTATTGCTTGATTTTACTTTGTCCATTGGTTTATTAGCCAAGAAATCCTGGGAATATAATTCATAACTTTTTGAATCTCAATGATCGATGTTAAAAAAATAGACATCTCTTTCTCACAATCTCCATTGAGATTAAGGTCTTGTTTGGGAGGTAATCTTTTTAGTTTAAAAACTAAAAAGTCACTAAAAAAATCAAAAAGCCAATAACCTATACCAAAAAGTTGAAGATTATTTTTTTTCTCTATTTTTTGCACATCTCTTTGTAAAAAATCATAAAGTCATTTCAAACATATTAGTTTTTATTTTACATCATATTTTAGCCAAAAAGTTAAAAAGTTACTAAAAAAGTCTGTTCCCAAATGAGGCCTAAGTTTCTTTCTCAGATTTCTTTGCAATCAAAATTTTGATATTAATTTCTAATTATATTTTTTTTATTTATCACATTTTTTTTTGTTTAAATTTACAGTAACTAACTTTTCTATATTTTTTCTTATTTTCCAAATTTTTTCCTTTAAATTACTTTTGTTGAAATTTGTGTTAGTGCCTTTCTCTCAATTTCTCAATTTCTTTAATTATATGACATATGAATATTGGCAAATTTATCTGTCGTGATTTTATAACTTGGTTACTTGGTAATTAATTTTATAATGTTTGGTTTTCATAGTTCTTACTATTGTCGTGCAATTCTTTGTTTAATATTTTCTTTAAGTTTGATTTGATAAATGTTCTCTAATTATTTGGTTTTTGTAATAAATATATTATTTATTGCGTAATTTTTGTTTGGTCTATTGGTTTATTTGCTTAGAAATTCTGGGACTAGAATTCATAGCCATTCAATTTCAATGCTTGATGTGAAAAAATTGAACATCTCTTTCTTGTGATCTCCATGGAGACTAGATTTCTCTATTAAGATTTTTTAGTAGTCAAAATTTATAATCTTAGTTTCTAATTAAATTTTTTCCCAAATTTTGTCCTTTAAATTATAAATTACTAGCATCAGAATCTGTGTTGGTGAGTTTCTCACAATTTCCCGAATTCCTTAATTATATGACATATGAACTGTAATAAATTTATCAGTTATGGTTTTATAATTTGGTTACTTGGTAATTATTTTTATAATGTTTGGTTTTTGTAGTTTTTATTATTGTCTTACAATTCTTTGTTTAATAATTTCTTTGTTTTCAATAAATTCTCTCTAATTATTTGAATTTTTTTTTTGATAAATATATTTTTATTGCTTGATTTTCCTTTCATCTTTTGGAGTGGTTGTATGCCAAGAAATCCTGAGAACATAATTCATAGCTATTGCTTGAGGTTAATTTTTTTTTTTTACATCTCTTTGTTGTAGTCTCCATTGAAACTAAGTTTCTCAGATTTCTTTGCAATCAAAGTTATAGTTTCTAATTGACCTTTTTATATTGTGTTTCGTTTTTCCAATTTCTTTATTTAAATCAATCAATAGTATTGAAATTTATATGGCTGCCTTTCTATCATTTTTTTTTCTTCTTTATTTGTATGACATGAATTGCTGCAAATTTATGAGTGATGTTTTATAATTTGTTTACTTAATAATTCTTTTTCGTATTCTTGTCTCTCATTTCTTTTTTGTTTTCTTTATTCAGTAATAAATTTTCTAGAATTTTTTGGTTTTCTTTTGATTTGTTTGATGACCTTTAGAACCAAGACTACCCTTGAAAAGAGGTTACAAGCTTTGCACTCTTCCAATCAATGAATTTGGGAAGCACAATATCATTGATGGTGTTTCCCTATTTAGATTCAATCCCATGGGAACGTGCTCTATGCCAATGTGTAGCATCGAAGGAATCATCAAATTGATGATCCTTGGAACCAAGACTACCTTCGAAAAGAGGTTTGCAAGCTTTGCACTTTTCCAATCAAGGTAGCAAGTTGTTGACTAAACTCTTCAATCTCTTTTCTTTGGTTCTGTTTTATCATTCTTTCATCCAATTGAAGATTCATCCAAATGTCGTCTTCCAAATTTGGAAGATAAACCCTAATATGTCCACCTTGTTGACCTCCTTTGAGCCATGAATCTAAATCATAATAAATCAGGATTCAGTTACACAACAATGAAAATCAGTCCAAAATACGTAGTCCAGCTAAAAGTGCCGAAGGATACTTTTGAAATACTGATTGAGCAAAGAAATATCGATGTCAAAACAATTTGTGAATCTGGATCTGAAAAACTCAAGGCAGTCAACATGAACTAGAGTCAAATTTGAACCAGAACTCAAGCTGAGGTTGACTTTCACAAATCAATGTTGTCGACGTGTAGCTCGAAGTCACATTCACCTTGCTTGTTTTCTCTTTTCAAAAAACACTTTTCAGAAAATTCTACTTTCTTATTTTTCGTGTTTTTTTGTTTTTACTGAATTTTTTAAATATTTTAAGCATTTTTTTTACTTTTTGGACACACCTAACATAAATACACCTAAAAAGTAAAAAAATTGTAAAAAAAATCTTTTAAAAATTCACGAAATACCAAAAATACAAAAAAATACAAGAATTCAGTACATTTTTTGTATTTCTATGTATTTATTAATTTTTTAAAATATTTTTTCACAATTTTTTTACTTTTTAGATACATCTAACTAAGGTGCATCTAAAAAAGTAAAAAAAATGTTTAAAATTTAAAAAATATTCACTAAAACTTCCATTGGTAACTAGTGAAACCATAGCATCGACAAGATCCTTCCAAAAGTTTCCCCTTTTCTCAACTGGAATTGCAAAATTAGCTACAATGGCAGCAATTTCTGAGCATACAAAAGCAATCCCCCATTTATTTGACAACAATTTTTTTTCTTTTCTCTGTATCAGGTGAATTGAGAGGCCCTTTGCCCGTCTCATCAAGTACAATATACAATCTTTTTTTTTTCCTTGAACAGAAGTAAAATATACATCCTGACATCCTGTTTCCCCAACATAATAATTCCCATTGAAAATAGAAATTTAAGTTCTGCATTTTTTTAAAATTTCATTTTCATCCATTTCCTTTTGCCCAAAAGAAAAAAAGAGAGAAAAAAAAAAGATCATATAAACCACACTTATTATTATTATTATTATTATTATTTTCAAATAATATATAGATAGACACACACAAACAAAATGGTTTAGTGATAGCAGCTGAATAGAATAGCATACATCTTATAGTTTCAACAAATCAATAATATGTTCTTCATCTTCCCTCTTCTTTCTCTCTCTATCTCTTGCTCCTCTATTTTCTCTCTTTATCTTCCCTCTTCTCTCTATCTCTCTTCTCCCATTTTCAGTTTTTTTTTGTGTTTTTTTGAAAGAAACAGTTTGGAACCGTTACGTAATGGTGCGTAACAGGCCGTTACGGCTGTTACGACACCGTTACGACCGCTACAGCAGCCGCTACGGCCGACGCACCTGTGAATCTCAATCACACTGCAAAAGCGGTCGTAACGGGTGGCGGTAACCGCCAAAACCGTTACATAACGGCGTTACGTAACGGTTGCGGCCGCTTTTTAAAACCTTGGGTGCATCTAAAAAAGTTAAAAAAATGTTTAAAATTTAACAAATATTCACTAAAAACAAAAGAATACGAAAATCAAAAAATTCAGTTTTTAAAAAACTTAATCCAGAAAACTCAAACCAATCACACTGATTACTTGCAAGATCTGTGTAAATGAATCTCTACACTTTGAAGTTGGTGTACCTCATTCAGCTTCAAACAATCAAGGGAACTTGAAGAGCAACGCTCAATGGATTTGAACAAGATCCAGATCGATAACAGTGATTGAGAACTAATGCAATGAGCTCAGTCTGATAGCCAGTTACGAGTATCGTGAAAGGTTAATCAACTTGAGACAAATCAACTCCAATTGTGAGTCACAACTCTAAGCTAGGGTTTTCGATTGTTTCGGATTGAGTTCGGAGTTTAACTTGGGTTTTGGATTAAGTTCATAACTCAATTGGAATTTTGAATATAGCAATTTGGAACTTGAATTCTGCTTGAATGAGGTGTGAAGCCTATGGAGGCTGAATCGAATTAGAGTGCAAAGTTTTCGAACAAAATATCCAGTTGCGATTGACTTGTGAATAACTAGTGCACTCCATAGGACACTCCAGCAACTCGAATCAGAGGTGATAATAGGACATGAGATAATTGTAGATCTAGGGTTACAAAGAACTGATTCGAATTCAGCTTTGAAGCAAAGCTGCGAAGCTCAAAGCTGATGTAAAGTTTAAAAGTCCAGATTGTGTTGGGATTTCAAGGTGCTAGGGTTTCCGTAGTCAGGATGTCTCATGCAAGAGGGCTTTGTAAGGTGGAACTCAAGGGCAATTCAACTGCAATTAGGACTGAACTTCAACTACAGAGGAAGAATCAACTCCAATCTGGAAGAACTAGGACTCAATCTAAAGCTCTAATACCAAAATGTCAACCAAATTTAGGAATTGAATTTCATTAGAGAGAGAAAATGTCCAATTAGGGACAATAAGCACTTAACTTGGAAATATTCAATATCAAAATGTCATCTATTCATTATTTGTATATCAATTATTTTTACGTTAGATATAATTTCTGTTTGATAGTTTTATGTACTATCTCAGCTGTGGTTCACAAATATACAGTAAATAAGAAAGAGAAGAGTCCTCTCGCTATGGAAGCAACTGGGTGTTAGTTTTTTGGCCATGAAGTTGAACAGAGAGCTTGAGTCAGGTCTCAATCCAACCCCAGATCTAATCTTGAGCTGTGGTATTCACATGTAAGCTCTATGATCTTTTTGGCTTAATTGTTCAAATGATTCGCAGATAGAGCTGGCATAGGATACTACCACAACGGGTAGGTTGCTGGTAGAGCAACATACATTAAAATTGTTCCCAGTGTCATTGGGATTAGTTCTTATTGTTCATTGCTTTCCATGTTAACCAAACAAAGAACAATAATTTCCTTTGCATTTGCTCTTCTTTTTTTTTTTTATTTGCCCTTTCCAAATCCTGAATTAAACAGAGCATCATCCATTTGATTTATTCTAGTAACATGTTGTCAACTCATTGTGAATTGTTACACTTTCTAAAAGGTTAAACTTCTATGGAGGGGTGTACCTGCAAATTTTAACATGCTTATATTTTCAAGTGTTTTTTATTTTGTTCTTGTCGCATTTAGTCTTGCCATTGCTATCTCCTTCTCTATATGGAGCATTTCAAAGTTCATTTGTAGTACCTCTTTTACTTTTTGCAGCATTATAATTTCATCATCTAGTTCAACAAGCGAAGTGTTTCCTTATTTGTTTTTTGGGTAACTGCAAGCGAAGTGTTTCCATCTACTCTTTGCCCCCATATTTTTGCTTGCCACCATGGAAGAATCCCATAATTCCATGACTTCATTGTCTATTGCAACACCTAAAAGCTAAGAAGCACAGACACTTTTAAGAAGGTGACGTATCCGTGCCGTGTCCGTGTAGGACACTGACACTCTTTGGACACTTTCCTGACACGTGTCCGACACTTTTCAAAACATGTCTTATTTTTTAATTTTTTTAAAAACTCGATACTCTTTGGACGTTTGAAGAACAAACGTCTATCACTTAAATACATGTATCTATCGATTAGGCACATATGAAACTAATTATAAGTTTGAACAAAATAACTTAAGCTACAATAATAAAACAAAAATTATATAAATTTATAGGAATTAATGTCATATTGTATTTATTATTATTATTTTTGAATGATATATTCATATATATAACATATAATAAATATATATAATTATATAATTTTTGTGTATCCTCTGCGTGTCATGTCTTGTCTTGCATTTTTAACATGTCGACATATCTGTGTCGTGTTGTGCGTCCGTGTCCGTGTCCGTGTCCGTGCTTTTTAGCCTAAAAGATTCATCTTGGCCTGAGCATTCTTAATTTCATGTTCATTTGCCGATGTATTACTTTCTCACACCTGATTCTCTCTTGCTCCTATCTCATCTCCCACTGTAATTGTCAACCACTTCGTCAGGATTCCCTTCAAAAACATCACTTGAATGTCCAACATTGTGTCCTCAAGTTCATAGCAAACCAAGGACCCCTCTTCCTCTAATAAATGCACAACCTAACAAAAACCAAATATTTCAAGACCAAACAATTATCAATACAATAAATTATTCTGTGTTTAATCTCTTTTTCTCTGATGTATGATTCTATTTGTTTAGAAAATAAAAGAATAAACATAATAATTTTTTTACGCTCAAATATAAATATCTATTTAAAGTGTGATTAAATTAGTAGGTTCATGATAATAGTTAATATATATTAAATGGATGGATTTGGATTTAATAATTTTTTTTTGCTAAATTTTGGATGACTAAATTAGGTTGATGCTAGTCTGGCTCTGTCCTGGCTTAAAGTAACATGTATATTTCTTACTATGTAGTGTAATCCTGATCAAATCTGATCGATGTTCACCACTAGTTCTAAGAATTCAGTTCCTCCATATGATCTATCTCCACTAGATTCCAAAATCCTACCAAAGCAATTATCTCCTTTCAAAGTCCCTAACAATTAACTATAATCCTTACAACTTTATTTTTAAATTGAGTAATGATATACAAATAAAAAAAAACGTGCAAAATGATATAGTTGAATTGGGAAATTATCATTTGAGAAAAAAAAAATTCCACCAAGATGATTCTAAATTTCAAAAAAATTTACTGCCACATCATTCTAATTAAGTGAATTTGTATGAAAATTTTAGTAGAATAGAATTTTCCTTCAAAATTTGGTCCATCAAATAATGAACCATATATACATGCTGGAATCTGGAGCTTTCCATTTGCCAACTATTTTCTCAATTGGATAGGAAAATTGTTCGTTCATAGATTGAAATTACAATTACCATCAAATTCTGTATGACCAAACTAAAGCAACCCAACCCAGCCAATAGGAAAATCAACTCAAAAATCGAATAGGTGCAAGTGCAGTTCTCCTGAGTCAGAGAAGGTATACTAAATAACTGACATAGTTGAGACACCAAACAAGTTATTGCCTTAAAATTATAGCATTATATATATATAGGGTTTTTCTATGTGTGCGCGCTCGCGCACGCGCTGATGCTAATTGTTGATGTGTTGCTCTTCCAAATCAGTGCTTCACTAAACATTCAGTCATTATCCCCGAAATTAGGTGATAGAGATGCAACATACTGAGCACGCCTTTCCTCTAGTTCTTTCAATCTTTTCTTTGTTGCCTTTAATCTTGTAGTTAGCCACTCTACCTCATCTAGTTCAGTGAGAGAAGATTGTTCAGCAGTTCTTGTCCCTTCAGTTTCATCGTCTGTAGAAACATCTGAAAAAACCTCTCCATATGGTCCACGAAAACGCTTTTGACTCTCCATCTTGTCACGCTCTTTCCCCAAGATCTCTTCTATCATCAAATCCTTGCAATCCCCTATACCATTACCATCTTCACACACACTTGCTGACATCTCCAATTTTGTCTCACCAAGTTTGCAAGGCAAGAACTGCTCCTCTAGTATAGGAAATATCTAAGGAGCAACCAAAAAAAAAAAATAAAATTAATAGTATAAGATATTACCAAACAAAAAGGAAAAAGAAAGGATAACGAGAAAAAATTGGAACTAAAATTTTATTTCTCTTGCTGGGGCATATTTGGACTTGCTTATCTGACTTTTTGGCAAAGTATAAGCTTAAAATGTCACCACTACTATTTTCTCTAGGATTATTTTGCCCGCTACTCTTTATTACATGTTGATTGTGGTTTTAGTTTGATGAAAATCCCCAATTTTTTTTTAAAAAAAAAAACATGTTTGCTTCCTCAAATGAGAAAACTACATTGGCTGCTACTGGAGGACCATTGTACCATTTAAAAAAAATGTTTTTAGTTATTTTCCACAACAAAACTAACATGGAATTTTTTTGGAGGGTACGGTGAAGAATAGATTATATAACCGAACCCGTTAGAACATCTCTAATTCTTCACTAAATCCTTCATCAAATTTAAATTTGATAAAAAAATTTAATAAAAATGAGATCCAATCCTTTTATTAAACTTATATCAAATCAAGAAAGAAGCAAATTTTTCATGAAATTAAGGATGGACCAAATCTTTCATCAAATTTTTCAATAAGTCTATTTCCACTTAAGTCTGATGGAATTGTTAAAAAATGAAGGATTAGAGCTGGGTTTTTTTCATCAAAATTGATGAAAAGTGAAATTTGGGATGAGAAATTAATTTTTTAAAGAATTTGATGAAAATTTGATGAAAGGATTGGAGTAGCTCATATCAAATCAAGCTCTATATTCAAATTTGGAATCAAATTAGATAAAAATTTTGATAAATGTTTGGAGATGGTCTTACACAGTTAACACCATATGCATACTCCTCCCCAAAAAAGATTGTGTACAGAATTATGTTCTATCACTCTTCTATATAACTACCCAAATTTATAGCCAACTGACAGTAAATATGGAAAAATAGATGGGTTAACTTTTACTTTTATCATAAATAATGAATTGCATTAATTAAAGGGTTGTAGCCCAAGTGACTAATCCTTTGGCCACCAAATCTCACAGGTCTAACAATTAACCACCGCCTTCCATTATCATTAAGCCTTCCTCTTGCTCACAAGCTCAATAGACTATGACTTATGTTTTAAAACATTTGGAAGTCTCTTGGTCCTCTTCCCAGCAGTAAGGAATAATGAAGGTCAACTTGATGATAAAGAGCTTTGGTTCAATCATGTTAAAAAGAGCTTCTAAACCCCGAGTGAACAAAACAATACAAATTGAAGAATTTTGAATCCCAACAAGATCTAAACCGTGGGGCAATATGATTTAGGCACTAGTATTGCAACAGTTAGAAATTTGAAGTCACCTACACTCCTGAAACCCACCAAATAGTTCTACTTAGCTCTTTTTTTTTTTCTTTTTCGTTTTTTTCTTTTTTGTCTCTCTTGAAAAAGAAAATCTATTCAGGTAAAAAAAACTGAAGCTGCATACATACCTCAGAAAGCTGGCAATGAACATGAGCAACGTAGTGACATTCTTCACAATAGTAAGTAGGATCATATAACTCCCTTCTTTCCTCACAAGAATCGCAGATGAACTCCGAGTATTCATTTTCATCTGGATGGTCTTTGATGGGAGAATTGGTGAGAGTGAGGGGATGTCTATGATATTTATCTTTGACAGTCGGTGGCAATGTTGTTACACAACCGACATGGAGATTGAATTCGCACTCCACACAGCGGAAAAAATAGGTGCAGATTTGCCGATTACAAGCGTTGCAATAGAGCAGGTAGGGTATGGCGGCGAAGAGAGCAAGAGGGTGCTCGTGTTGAAGTTGAGAGCTGATGAGGAAGGGTTTTGAAATTGGGCATCTAATGTCAAAGAAGATTGCGCACTTGGTACATACATATGCAAAGCCTGAAGCATATACTTGACACGCATGGCACTTAAATTTACCGCTGAATTCATTTGCATCGCCAATATTTTCTTCCCTGAGCGAATTCTTGCACAACTGACCAAGTGAATATTGGAGCAGGGTGAGTGTGTGTTGGTGGTGGCAAAATGAGCTTTTTACCTGCAGAGGCAAATCAGCACAAGATTTGTGAAGCAAAAACTTGCATTCAAGACAGATGTAGACAATAGAATCATCATCCTCAAAGTGAAGCTGGCAAGCATCGCAAGATATACGGTAATCCTTTTTCTTCTCACAAAGAATCAAGGGGTGGGGGTGTCTTAGCTGTTGAATCTGGAACTCATCGTCCCTGCTGCTGCCTTGAGAATTTTGGGTAGACGACGGCAATGGTATCAACGAAGCGCACAATGGGTCCAGGCTGAAATTACACTCAGAACAGTTGAAGGAAAAGCCCTCTGTCAGGAACTTCCCACAAGCGCTGCACCGACTTGAATCCACACGTTGGTCATTTCTAACACGACAATCATCACATTTGAAGAGAAGGCCCTTCTCAAGCACCTTCCCACAAGCTCTACATTGCCTCGAAAATGTATTCCAACGTTGGTCAAGCAGGGTGAGTGGGTGTTTTCGGTGGCAAGGGTGTTCGATCTGTGAAGGCCACTCGGCACATGATTGGTCGAGCAAGCACTTGCAGTAAAGGCAAACATAGATCCGACTTCCATTGATGGGTAACTTGCAGAAAGAGCAGGTAAAATTAAACAAAATCGTGTCGTTGTTGTTGCAGACAATCAAGGGATGTGGGTGACGTAGTATATGATGTTGAATTTGGGATTGATTCTTCTGGTGGACTAGGATTTTGGCAGGCATTAGTGAAGCACAACAAATGTCGAGGTTAAAGTCACACTTGAAACAATGGTAGTTACTATGGGTCCGACCGGTCCTCCAACAGGCATCGCAGTCGAAGTACTCAAATTCATTTCGGGGCCTGATGAGGAGGGTCAGAGTGTGTGGGTGAAAGGGATGTAGCATCACTTGTGGGAATTGAGCGCATGATTTGTGCATGTACACCTTTCTCAAGCAAAACTCATTGCAACACGAGTACATTGGTGAAGCGATGTCTTTGTGGCATAACAAGCAGAAGCATTCATCATCGAGCACACCTTTCTCCATTCTCAATGGATGTTCATGGATGAAATGTTTAATCTGGTTCTCCATCTCTCTCTCTCTGATGAATGCTTTACGGGGTTGCTGGTAGTTGAAGTGGAACGATCCCCGCCTGTGTTTGAATTCGCGGCCCTCCTGAGTATCATCACCAGCAACGATCCTTTGTTTCTAAATAACCCTGTACTCTCAAATCTATTGGATCATATAAAAATCTCAAGATGTTAAAATCTCATGGCATATTCAGTGATTATGAGTAATTTGGAATAGAGAACATGATTATTTGGGGACAGAAGATTCTTGGGCTATCACCACCTACAGAAGTAGTTTTAATTGCTTAATAAATAACTTCTTTTATTAATAAAATATCAATTATATTAAAAATTATTTTTAATAACGTCAAAAATATATTTTAATAAACAATTTTGACAAAAAAATGTTTCTAATTTTTAAAATTATATAAAAAATAATTTATATTTTAAATAAATTTTAATACCATTAAATTATTACGATAACTTTAGAAAATATGCACTTGGTCAAGTAGTCTTTTAAATTGCAGACGCCTCCTTGGACAAGGCAAGTAGAGATTTCCTGCCACCGACACTCATCTCTGCTTTGCATTAATTTCTTGTACAAAAGCAAAGTATTTAGCTTTATTCGCTGTCCCTAGTTGACTTTATTGTGGCTACGTTTGGCATGAGTTTTTTATTTTAATTATTTTTATTATAAAAAGATAAAATAAGTAAAAAAATTAATAAGATAAAATTTCATATTCAAATCATAATTATTTTACTTTTTCTAAAAAAAAAAAAAAAAACAAACAAAAAAAATTTTTTTGCTATTTTAAATGAGGCTTTTTAATCCCAGAGTAAAATAATAAAAAAAGATTAAAAAAAAAATTAAAAAGTCAATTCACATTTCAAGTAAATGCAGTATTTAAATAAAATTAAGTTTTTATAAAATAGTTATCGAAATAAAATATTACAATTTCAAACCCTAGTTACCTCTGTCACGTGTTCGGTGTACATGTAATGAAATTACGTGATTTGCAATAATATTATGTATTTTTATAGTAATGTTACATAATTTTTTAATTAGATAAATAAAATATGTAATGTTATTACAAAAATACATAATATAACACAAAATGCGTAAGATGTAAAACCACTACTATCGCTACCGTTATCGCTTCCGCTTTCACCACTATCACCATCATTACCATTATTACTATCATATTCGTTACTATTGTTATTATTGCCATAAGTACTGCCATAATTTTAAAACTACCACTACCATCTCTATCGCCGCCACCACTACCATCATCATCACCATCAACGCTACTACTACCACCACCGCCACTACCACTACCACTACCACTACCACTACCATCACAATATAAAAATTGAAATATACAATTTAAAAATAATAAATTTTAAATTTGATCTTATATATATCAAACAACTTGTTTTTGGTTTAATGCTTAAATTTTTATCAAACAACTTTTCAGTTTAAAAGATTCAATATTTAGCATTCAATACTTAATTTTCAATTTTCAATTTTATCAAACATTACCTAAGTAGTGTATTTTATTAACATTCTTTATCAGTGTGCCATGTAGCATACTAAAAAATTGTCATGTGTCATTTATTTATTTATTTTCTCTATCTTTTGTGTCCTTTTATTTTCTCTTGTCTTTCTTAACTTCATAGATTGTCTTATCATTTTATTTTCTATTTTGATAGAGATGTAAATATATGAATGTGGGATAGATGAAAATAATATTTATCAATGTTTAGTATTTTTTTGAGAATTTGTAGAGTATTTTTTTTAAATCTTTGTACATGTAATCATGGGACAATTATAATTTGGATTTTTTAAAATAAGTATATTTGTAACAATTATAATAATATATTACAATTTATAATACTGTGATGAATCTATTACATATTTAATGACTATAAAATAGAAATATAAATTTATAGTTATTTTAAATTTAGAAAATATCATTACACTTATCACTGAATGATATAATGAATCATTTCCATTATAATATGTAATGAATTATAATGGGGAGGATCACAATTGGAGTATAGATAATTTAAGTAAAACATAAAAAGGAGAGAGAGTTGAAACACAACATGAGTTATTTTTGTTTCTTAATTATAGTGGATCCAAGTAGACGAGCTTGATACATGATTATCTAAATAGTGATGGTTTGCTCTTTCAAATCAGTACTTTACTACTTTACTAAGACTGTATTTGGTTCATGAATTTGAATAGAAATTTTGAAAGGAAAAAGAAAAAAGTAAGTGAAATATAAGAGAAAAGTTAGGGATCGTGAAATTTTTTTCATGGAAACGATCATGAAAGATTTATGATCTTTGGATTACCTTGATTAGTGTGTGGTGCTTTATTCTAAGTGTAATCTAACGGTCACAAAACTTTCATGATTATTTTCATGAAAAGTTTTTCATGATACCTGGCATTGCTGGAAATAAAAATGAAATGCGATTATGTTTTACTTACGTTTTACACATATTTTCTCTCTTTTTCTCTTTTTAAATCATTTTCTAAATTCATGAATCGAACATAGCCTAAACATTGTTGTCACTCACTATCCTCATAATTGGGCGATGGAGACGCAACAAGCCCAGCACTCCTCTCCTCTACTTGTTTTATTATTCTCTTTGTTGCCTTTAGTTTTTGGCTAGCCACTCTGCCTTTGAACGAAGCTCAACAATCTCTTTATCTGGTTTAATAAGAAAAGAATCTCCATCAACTCTTGGCCCTTCCATTTTTTTGCTTGCTACCATCGAAGAAACCCCTCTTGCCGTAATCTCATCGTCCATGGAAACACTTGGAAAACCCTTTCCAGACGAACTAGTTCCCATGTCAACTTGATCAGCACCTGCATGACTCTCCTGTCCATCAACTCCCTCTTCTTCCTCCACCATATCTTCTATCATCAAAGCCGTACTAGAGGACATGTCCAATTTTGTCTCCCCAAATTTGTAAGCTCAAGCATAGGGAATACCTAAGAAGCAACCGAAAAAATTGATCCAATAAAATTAATAGCAGTAGATATATTAGCTAAGCAAAAATTTAAATGAAAGTAAACAAAACAACACTACAACATATAAGACTTTTGGCGACCAATTATTTTTGTGTGTGTGTGTGTGAAGCTAAAAAAAATGATAGAAAATCTCAGAAAATTATGCATCAAGATCAAGATCTCAGCAGCCAAGAAAATCATTGATTTACCTTTCGATTGAAGCCAAAGAACTCAGATCTTCAACGATCGATTCGGATTGAAGCTGAGATCTTAATCGATTCGGATTAAAGTTACAATAGGTAAGATCGATTGAAGTTGAGATCAGTACAAAGATGGATTCCGATTGAAGTAAAGATCGATTCGGATATGAGGCGGCACAAAGATCGATTCAGATTGAAGCTAAAGATCTATCGAAGTTGAAGATCGATTGAGTCCTAGACAGAGTAAACAGCTGAGATCGATTAAGTCCTAGTGAAGATCGATTCTTATATCGCGTATTTGACAACCTTTAGCAACCAAACTAATTCGTCTCCAACTTTTACCCACCTCAAACACGCGGGTCAAGTGTCTAAGTGAACATACGTGTTAATTTTTTTGGTCCCTAAAAGTCACTAAATAATTTTTTTTGGCCTATCATAAAGAAATGAGGCGTATTCTTATAATTTTCTTTTAAAATTTGTTTTTGTCCTAAAATGATGGTTTTTAGAGACTAAATTCAATTAGTCTCTAAATATTAGTCACTAAATCACTATTTTCTTGTAGTGCAAAGAACAAGAAGGAAGAATTGAATTAAAATGTTTTTTTTCTTTTTATGGGAATATGTTGTCTTGCTTATCAGACATTTAGACAGAACAATCTTAAAATGTAACTACTATTATTAGATGTTGATTTTGATTTTATCTTTTGGCCCGTTACTTTTTATTAGATGTTGATTTTGATTGTGGGTTTTTAAGTTTTATAAATCGCAAAATAGTAAAAAAAATTAATAAAACAAAAAATAAAAAATAAAAAACCAAAACAAAAATCTATCAGTCTGTACAGGTAAATAAAACTGAAAGTGTGCATGCATACCTCAGGGAGAAGGCAATGAACATGAGCAACGTAGTGGCATTCTTCACAATAATAATTAGGTTCATCTAGGTACCTCATTTCCTCACAAGCATCGCAGTAGAACTCTGAGTATACATCTTCATCCGGATAGTCTCTGATGGGAGATTCGGTGAGAGTGAGGGGATGCCTATGAATTTTATCTTTGGCAGTTGGTGGCAATTTTGGAACACAATAGGGATGAAGATTGAATTCGCACTGCACACATCGGAAGAAAGGGGTGATGTTTATCATCCTATTGCAAACGGTGCAATACAACCAGGACGGTCTGTCATTGAAAAAAGGAATGGGGTGCTGGTGAATTTCAGACTTGATGAACCAGGGTTTGGAAACTGGGCATCTAATGTCAAAGAAGATTCCACACTTGGGGTTGCAACAAACATAGGCGAAACCTGAAGCATAATTAGTACAAGCATGGCACTTGAGTTCACCTTTGAAGTCATTTGCCTTCCCACTACTTATTGGCCTGATATATGGCTTCTCCTTTACAAAAGGATCCTCCAACTGACGAATTGAATACTCGATTAGTGTGAGTGCGTGTTGTTGGTGGCAAAAGGAGTGTTTTACCTTAAGGGGCAAATCTGCACAAGATTTGTGCAGCAAAAACTTGCATTCAAGGCAGAGATAGACGACAGAAGAATCCTTCTCAAAGTGAACCTGGCAAGCATCGCAAGTTATAGTATAACCCTTTTTCATCATCTCACAAGGAATCAAAGGATGGGGGTGGCTTAACTGTTGAATCTGGAATTGGAGCTGAACTTGAGAATTTTGGCTAAACGGCAATGGTATCAACGAAGCGCAACATGGGTCGAGGCTAAAATTACAGTGAGAACAGTGGAAGGTAAAGCCCACCAGCACCTTCCCACAAGCGCTGCACCGATTAGAAGCAGAATCAAAATGGTGGTGGACGAGCAGGGTGAGCGGGTGTTGTGGATGCAGAGGATGATCGATCTGGGAAGGCCATTGGGCGCATGATTCATCCAGCAAGCAGTTGCACTCTAGGCAAACACAGATCCAATTTCCATTGATGGGTTGCCTGCAGGCAGAACAGGGAAAATTGAAAATCGTTTTGTTCTCGCAGATAATCAATGGATGTGGGTGGCGAAGTAGACTTTGAATTTGAGTTTGAATTTGACGGTCTTGGACATTTCTTGGTTTGGTAGGCTTTAGTGAAGCACAACAAGGGTCCAGGTTAAAGCCACAGTCGTAACAGTGGAAGTAATTAGAGGAGCGAGGGATCGGCCCACAGGCATTGCACTTGAATGAACAACAGACGATGATGCAGCATTTGGGAGCGTCATTTGGAAGGTGATGGAGTGTTTTGGGTGAAAGGAGTGTACCATCTCTTGTTGCAATTTGGCGCATGGTATGTGGATATTGTAACTTGGAAAGCAAAAGTGTTCACGACACGAATACGCACTAGTTCCAATAGGGATTTCATTCCGGCATACCAAGCACTCGCCAGGGTCCACCTGCTTGAGTAACAATGGATGCTCATGGATGAAATGTTGAATCTTGTCTTCCATCTCTCTCTCGAATTGGGGCGGTTGTCTTTTTGATAAGTGCTTAAACAAGGAGGATCTCAATCTTCATCAGAGTCACTGCTGGTCTTTCAATCTGAAACGTGTGAGATCTGGGAGACAAAAGAAAAGAGCAGAAAAAAAATTATTTTGTTTGGTTTAACAAAGAATTACAAAGGAATTTTAAATGAATGAATTTAAATCTGGTACTTTAACTTCAATTCACTTTAAACATATCAAATTATATTTTTGAATGTAAAATTTATTAAATTCTGTCAAATTCCAAAGTTCCAAACAGGTTAAAGTTTTTAACAAATAAAAAGTTACTTGAAAACTGTTGCAAAACAGAGGCTAAATTTTTTAACAAATAAACTTCTTGGTTGTTCCATGTGGTTGGCATGAAACAGCATGAAAATCAACATTAAAATTTGTAAAGAGGAGAAATTGAGAAACTTTTTCTTACAGAGTATTTACAGTGTTTGTTAAAAAAAAATTATAGGACAAAATTTTCTTATTTACAACAATGATGGAAAGAGAGATTTTCTCAATTATATAATGGAGACTCCTTCCCAATTACAATAAAATTAAGTTTCTGAAAAAAACTCCGCAGTCAATCCACTAAAAATCTGTTAATTTGACAAAAACATACAACACCAAACACATCTATCCCTTTTAACAAGTAGAGATTTATTAAATGACCACTTCAATTACTTTTTAATTGATTTTTTTTCACAAACAATTGTATACAGAGAGAGAGGAATAGATGTTGGTTCTGTTTTAAATTGAGAAACAACAATGATTCATCCCACTAAAAACATCACCACTAATAGCACTAATGCATTAAAAAAGTTAAAAAAAAAAAAATACAACTCCAAGACCAAAACATCACATCATTAATGGCGGGACCCACTGCCACCTAATTAGTGGGAGCACTAATTAGTGCTCCCAAGCATTTTTCTTTGAAAAAGTTGGATAGAAAATTTTATGCTCGTTTGGCAAGGGCTTTTGTGGCTATTTTAGCTACAAAAGATAAAATAAATTATTTTAGTCACAACAAATAAAACATCACATCCAACCCATAATCATTACACTCTTCCCTCACAAAAAAAAGTCAAAAAAGTCAAAAAGCCAAAAAGTCAACCCACTTCTCAAACGGAGGCAATGAAAAATAAATTTATTTGGATAGAAAATATTTTTCACTTTTAAAAGGCGAAAAATATTTTTCGAATTAAAATTTTACCAATGTCACCATACTCACCGCCACCACTATACCACCATCATCATAGTCATTGTCACCATCATCGTTGCAATCATTGCTGCCTTCGCCTCAGCAATCATTGCTGTCACCACCATCACCATAGTCATTGTCACCACCATCATTATGCCAACATCTCCACCTTCTTTCCACCGCCACCACCACTGCCACCAAACATAAAAAAATTTCTATAGAAAATGATTTCCATCCAAACAAATGGAGTGCAAGTTTACTGGTCGGAAAAATGGTACAATGGGCTACTAAATAGTTGGTCGGGAAAATGGGTATGTTTGGTTTGAGTTTGAGAGATGAGTTTTAGAGATAAAAAGTACGAAAAGTTATTTGGTTTGCTTTTTTTCAAAAGATGTTTTGAAAAATTATTTTGAGAGAGAGTTTTGGAAAAAGTGATTGATTTAATGTGTATGAGAGAGAGATTTGTTTGGAAAACTTGTAAACCAAACAAGTTTTGGAAAATTTTTTTAGAAAAATTTGTTTGGTTTGATTATTTTTAAAAACTTATTTGTAGAGAATTTTTTCCAAAAATTTTTAGGAAACACAAACCAAATGCGACTAAAGTTTTCAGCTACAAAACTCTTTAATCACGGTAGTTGTATATTCAACAATCAAAAATTTAATCGTCAAATATTGAGTTTTGCCCACTAATAAATTTTTTAGTTGTAAATTAATTTTGTTGACCAGGTATCTGCGACCAAAATGACAACTAATGAAATTTGTTGCAAATGTCTTTGGCAACTAAAACAATTTTCTGCCACGAAATTTTTGCCAACGTGAATCTTCGTCTTCTAACTTGACAACTCTAAAAAGTAACTATTTCCCAAATCTGTCCTTTGAATTTTGATTGCAACCAATCATCTGGCGTGGCTCACAAGTATTTAAGCCTCCTTTTTTTTTTTTTTTGCTTTGCACCACAAGCTTTTCCTTTTTCATTTCGCACCACAAGTTATCTATTTATTTATTCAATAATGATTCATACCGCTAAAAAAAAAGACTATTAATAGCATTAATGCATTGAGAATGTCACAAAAAAAAGCCCTGCACACTGTCACATCATTAGTGATACTATTAGAGCACTACTTTTAGTGCTCTCAACCATTTTTTTTATTTACACATTTTTTTTGATAACATATCATTTTGTCTCTCATATTATTAGTCCAAAATCAATGTAACTCATTTTCTTTTAATAATATTAATTTTATACTTAAATTATTTTATTTTACATTAATTTCACTCCTACCATCAATTGCCATTTATGATCAAACGAAAGTTGCTGATGTAAAACTCAACTTCATTTTAAATTTTATTTTATCCTTCAAATTATTCTCAAAATATTAATTAGACCCCTGAATAAAATAAAATTTGAGAGTCTAATTGATATTTTAAAAATAATTTAGGAGGTAAAATAAAATTTCAAATGAAATTTAGGTGTCATGTCAGCAACTTCTATTTGATTATAAACAGTAGCTAACTATAGATGTAAAATTAATTTAAAATTAAATAGTTTAAATATAAAATTAATATTATTAAAAAAACAGAGATGGCATTGATTTTGAGAATAAAATGATATTTGCTCTTTTTCTTTGGCACCACAAGCTTTTCCTTTTTTTCATGCTTTCGCATCACCAAATCAACAACAGCTATGATGCTATATCAATGCAATAAACCTTTTCGAGTTTAATCTTTCTCAGTGTTAGGAATAAACTTTTCCCAACAATGGATGTAAAAGAAACAAAACAGTCATTAAAAAAAAGAAAGAATACAAGCTGCTAATAATAGAATTAAAATTGACTTAAATACACTCTTCTAATATTTTTTTTTTACACTGTTAACACAACACTATATTACACATTATTATTATTATTAATATATGAATTTTATTAACGTGTGCGTTTAGAGTACATATTAAGATGTTTTGTCTATTTATAATACCTTTAAAAGACTTTAATCCTCTCTATTCTATATATGTAATAGAGAATTTTCACTTTTTTAAGGTTTCTTATCATGTGTTTAAAGAACATGGGGCTGGCTTCCCTTGTTGGACCCGTCGAGGTTCACTACGGGTCCTATTTTGAAAATCTAATCGTTAATGTGTAAAATTTGTCGAGTACTATATGTTTATAAAAAATCACATTGATCAGATATCGATAGTTACGTGATCAAATCCGTTTTGTATAATAATAAAAAATGAACTGTGAAAAAATAAACGGTTGACAGAAATATGATCTAATGAAATAACTATCCGATCAACGTGATTTTTTGACGATTTTTACACATTAAACGGTTCGAATTATCGAAACGGGACTCGTAATGGACCTCCACAGACCTAGTAGAACCCTCAAATTTAATCACGGATTGAAGAGAAACCCAACCCAAAGAACATATGTTGATAATACTCTAATTTATTACCACACAACAAGACACCACTATTTTCTTCCCCTATCCAAGAAAATTTAGGCCAAGTTTGGCAACTCTCAAAAAAGTCAAAAAGTTACTTAAAAAATTAAAAAATTATCACTATTCAAAAAAAAAAATTAAAAAATTAATTTTCCAAGCCAAGTACAACTCAGTGATGTAAGCAATCACTGCTCTGTGTTGTGTGTGGCCGAACAAATCTGATCAGATTGGGTGCAATTGAACACACTGCTGTTCGGCCCGTAGGGGCCCATCACGGGTCCCGTTTTAATAATCTGAACCATTCAATATGTAGAACTCGTTGAGTACTATATGTTTGTAAAAAATCACGTTGATCGGATATCGATAACTACATGATCAAATTAGTTTTGTATAAAAAATGGATGGTGTTATAATTAACGATTGAAAAAAACAAATCCAATCAGATAGCTATCGATATCCGATCAACGTGATTTTTTATAAGCATATAGTATTCAATGAGTTCTACACATTGAACAGTTCAGATTATCAAAATGGGACCCGTGATGGCCCCCACGGGCCGAACAAAACCGTTCAGTGCAATGCCCAAACATTGGCCAATAATTTCCTACCATCAATTCAATTGCACTGCTTGTACGGCTGCCAACCCACCTTTCTAATATTTTCCTACACACTTCTTTATATAATTTTTTAATACACATTTTTTCATAAAAAATTAAAAAGTTAACCCAAACGTCCATATTTTTTTCCTCAACTTTTTAGTCAAAAAAAATAAAAAGTGCACTTATTTAGGACACCCCAATATAAGTACACTTTTTAACTTTTTTGTTTAAAAAGTAGAGAAATCATATGTATATTTGGGATAATTTTTTGACTTTTCACGAAAAGTGTATAATAAAATATTGTAGTAAAATTAAAATAATGATTCTATTCTTGTTGACTTTTTGAATTTTGAGTAGCTGAATTCAAATGACAAAATAATAATTTTACTTTCTAGACTTCCCTCACAAGCTTCTTTCAAATAGTATGAATTTGTTAACTTTTTCAATAATTTTTTAAACTTTTTGATTTTCGTAAATTATTTAAAAATGTAAATGCAATATTGTTGACTGCTCCACCCATTTAACAGAGTGAGGATCCTCTCCTTGCAGCTTCCGTGTTTGCGCCCGTCCTTGCAGGCCTTCGGGTCTACTTTTAGGCCAAATTTTGATAATCCGAACCGTTCATATTTTATGATTTATTCAGTATATCATACCTGTAAAAAATCAAGTTGATCGGATATCATAAAGCATATGTTCGGAAAACTGTTTATTAAATTCTTTAAAAAATAGTGTTTAGTTCAATTTTTCAAACACATACTTTCTGATATCCGATCAACTTGATTTTTTACAGGTATGATATACTGAATAAATCATAAAATATAAACGGTTCGGATTATCAAAATTGGGCCTAAAAGTAGACCCGAAGGCCTGCAAGGACGGACACAAGCACAAACTTGCAAGGAGAGGCTCTTGACTCCATTTAACATCAATGTTGAGTGCCTGTGTTCCAAACTTCTCCTTAGCTACCCATTGCAACACTGGATTAGCTAAGTACGACTTGGAGAACTTCTCAGCCTCCTCCGTTCCACTAATTTTAGCCTCCCAAATGCCCTAATTTAGGAGGTATTGGGTTTGCATTTGGAAACTGATTAAGCATGCCCCAGGCATGTGACGTCATCTTGGGGATTGCTTCTCCACTCAAAAACTGCTCGGTTAAAGAGAACACACGAGAGGGTGTTAAAAAAAATAAAAAAATACAAGAAAATGTACGGAAGGTTCACATTACACAGGTTTAAAATCTGGGATTTAAGTTATTAAAATTAAAATTTTGAGATTTAATTTTCAAAATGCGTAAAACTTGAGATTTTTATGTAATTTTTCCTTAATATTTTAAAGTGTAT